ATTACTACAAAATGCAAAAAGATTTATTCAGAATGAAAAGAAGATCACAAAGATCACAAATTATGGGAGCCTTAGAAATTCAGGTTCTTTTCCTGTGTAATCTCTTCAGAGAATGTCAGAAATGCTGACTAGACATGCTTCCCAATTGCATTATGACTTCTCCTTCCCACCGAGAACATGCCACAACTCCCACTATTCACTACGAGCCCTGAGGCTTAGGCTTTATAAACTTTAGGGTAAACTCACCTCCAGTCTCAGATTTTGTGTCACTTTCTCTGTGAAACTTCTCTGAACCTCTAAGACTACACCTGGGTTCTTTATCTTAGTCCTTAGGCTCTCCTGCGTTCTATTTCATCATAGCTCTTAGCACTGTGTATTAACATTGCCAGGTTAGGTGGCAATGAACTCAAATAGACTGAGTTCTGGAAATTCAGAACCAGTTTCTTGCTAACCAGTCTACCTTCAGTGCCTAGCCCAGCACCTGGCACATAGAGGTAGGTACTCTTTAACTACTTGTTGAACTAATGAATGAATATCTGATTTTTCCCCTCTGATCTCCGGAGAATATCTCATTCTCCAGAGTTTAAAATTCTCTACTGTCATCTTTCTAGATGCCCATAGCTCCACAATTTCAATCCTGAGACTAAGGAAATCCCCTCAGTAGTCATTATCTCATGAAGATGGAGTATAATTTTTCTATTTGTTCTATATATGATTTCTTAGGTGTTCTTTTTTTAAAATTATTATTATTTCATTTGTTTTAATCTGACCAGAGAGAGAAAGAGAGAGAGGGGAAAATGAGAAAGCAAGCCACCAGGTCCAGGACTGGAATCATGGTTGGCCATGTGGGAGTGCCCAGTGTCTTAAGTACCACACCAACCTGCTGGTCTCCCTTAGGTGTTCTTAACTAGGGACATTCATATAGTGCAAGAGGAGATGAAGTAAGTAATGGATTTTTCTTTTACGGGGAAAGGGGATAGGAAGTTTTCACATTTTTCTCCAATTCATCAGCTTAGCTGGTTGTATTTCTAAAATGTCATTGAGACACTAGAGGCTGCCCAGGAAATAGCAATTCCTCATTCTTTGCTGCTGATAAGACTCTCATTTTGAGGGAATTTTTCCTTCCATATACTCAAGGTTGGTAGCCTCTTTGCCAGCTCCAAGAGGTGAATGTTATATAGTCAAAGGAAGTCATGACAATTCCATGCTTCTTGCCAGGGACAGTTTCAGAGGTGAGGATGTGATCCAGCCCTGACCAATAAGGAATGGGAAATTTTGCTGGGGTTGGTTGGTGGCTTCTAGAGAAGATTTTCCTCTTGAAATGAAAGAGATACTCAGAGGGAATTCCCCTTCTTCCTCTTGAAATGAAAGAGATACTCAGAGGAAATTTCCCTAATTTTATGTTCAGTTTTGTGAACGTGATACCTAGAGCTCAAGTTGCTGTCTTGTAACCGTAAGGAGACAACCGTGAAGACAAAGCAACAGGTTGAAGTCAATAGAAAGGAAAGATCAAAAGCTTCTCAGGTCTGAGGATGCTTTACCCTGCTGGAGTCTAGAATCACTTCTCTCTGGACTTTCTGAAAAGCCTTTCAAAAAATCTTATCATTTCAGCCACTTTTAATAAAATGTCCTACAAATTGTAGCTGAAAGCACTCTAAGTTCTAATAAAGTCAAAGAGGTGAATTGGAAAGTATGTACAAATCACTTTATTTTGATAGTTATTATGATAATAATATACACCTATTTCCTTTATTTTTAAATTGCCAGAGGGCCTGCATGCTTGCCAGAGACTGAGGGACAGAGAGAGAAAACCCCCCACAGTGGGGTGTAGTCATGCTGCAATCCCTTCTCTTTCATTTTTCCATCCTTTAGGAATTTTGGGCACACAGGCATACATGCCCAGTATGCTTTTCCAGCCACTGGAGCCAAGATTTGGATTGCAGTCAGCCATGTGGGATCCAGCTTTTCCTAACCACTGGGCCATAGGGCCAGCCCATAATTACATTTATTATTGCTTGGAGATGTTAAGAGCAGTTCACCTTGATAACATACTTTTTGTGAAGGGAGATAATTTCTTTTTCTTTTTAATTGCCAGAGAGTACATGTGCTCTCCAGAGAAAGAAAGAAAGTGAGAGAATGCACCTCCCAACAAATGTATAATCATGTCATGATCCTTTTTAATTTTTTTAGATTTTTGCTATAGGGTGTGTGCATTTGCCAGAGACACAGAGACAGAGAGACAGAAAATGAGAAATCACTCCCCTAGAGGGGATGGCCATGCAACAGTCTTTTCTTCTCCATTCTCCTCTTGGGATCTTGGGCACACATGAACACACACATGCACACGTGCTTGGCTTGAATTTGAAGCCACCAGGTCCAGGACTCAAACCACAGTTGGTTAGGAGTTCAGCGATGTAACTATTATGCCATCTGCTGGTCCCATCCATGATCCTTTTCCTCTGTTTCTCCATCCTGTCAGGATCCTAGGCAAGCATGCACATATGTGTGTGGCACATTTTTCAAGCCACTAGGGCCAGGATTCAAAACACAGTCAGTCATGTCAGATTCAGCTCCCAACATACAGCAGTTGACCACTGCGCTACAGGGTTGGCTCAATAATTTACTTTTTGAAGGTTAAACATTCACATTGCATTTTTAAAATGGAAATATCTTCTCATCTCTGTATTATGCTGGAAATGAGAGAAGGCAAGTGACTTGTGTATGAGCCATCTTAAGTTTAAATGAGAAAGAATATATTTAAGTGCAGAGGAGAAAATGTTCCAGCCAAGAACAAATCTTCTAGGGTCCTAATTCCCACCACTTTGTTATAAAGGATGTCTTTTAAGGTCACCTCCCATAGGATAGTAGTAGATTTTTATTTTTTAATTAGCCAGAGGCTTGTGTACTCACTGGAGAGAGAGTGAGTGCAAGAGAGGGAAAGGTGAGAAAGAACTCCCTCCACCCCGACTTGCCACCCCATGGGTAATGGTCACACTGCAATCCCTTCTTTTTCATCTCTCTCTCTCCTTTTGGGAGTTTGAACATGCACACAATTTTGCCCAGTGTGTTTCTCAAGCTTCTGGTCCAGGACTCGAATCACGAGGTTGGCCATGTGAGACCCAACCACCTTAACTACCATGTCACTGGCTGGCTCAATAGTGATTGAATTTTAAATCTTTGTCCATGGTGGGGGTTAGGAGGATAAGAGCAGTTACTTTGACTACTTTTCACCAATGACACATGACACTTTTTTTTTGTTTTTAGAGAGATTTTTGCTATAGGGCACATGTGCTTGCCAGAGAGGCAGAGAAAGACAGCGAGAAATCACTCCCCAGTGGGGATGGCCATGCTGCAATCCCTTCTCCTTATTCCTCTCAGGAATTTGGGCACACTCGTACATGCGCCCTGCATGAGTTTCAAGTTGCTGGATCTGGGACTCAGACTACTGTCAGCTATGTGGGAGGCCAGTGATGTAATCTCCACGCCATCTGCAGGTCCCTACCAATGGACACTTTTAAGTAGTCCTGTCCTATCACTCACAATGGCATTCCCATCGGTACAAAAAATAATTGCCCAAGCATGTGCCAGACACCTGTAGTTAGTGGAGAGAAGCACAATACCTCTCCAGTTCTTGGGGGCCTGTAGCTCTACAGTTGGGGACCATTGTTCTAAAAAATTCTGGCATTCAAGAAGGTCACCTTGTTAGGACACAGCAAGAACCATTCTCCTCCCTGCTAGGGTGGTGGTGGGGATAGTCTTGCCAAACCTCTCTGAAAAACAATTTCTAAATCTTGTTTTGTTTTTTTGAGTGCTATCTCGCCTGAAACCTTGATTCATTAACTGTAGAATTTAGGTAATTAAGATAGGAAGCAAACTGATAAGAAATTAAACCAGTATGCATAATGCAGATGTCTAAAGGGGATGGAATTTCTAGGGCTCTAGGAAGCAGGCTAATCAGGTTTCAATCAGGAACTCATCACTCAGACAGAGAAAATTAATTCATGATGGGAGGCAGGGAGGGAGCAAAAGCACAGGCAGAATCTCAAAATCAATCCAGATGAATCTATCCTCATTAGAAAGAGGGAAACTGACTCTTGCACATGGAGGTACAGGTCATAACGGAGCCTGGGTAGAAAGTTTGCTGATACTGCTGCATGTTGCTATACATGCCTCGAAGATGCTCTAGGCTCCAACACCTGCTTAAATAAATACTGTTTTAGATCCCCTGAGCCTAAGCTTTTCCAGAGAAACTACCATGCAGTGTGGGGACAAGAAGTAAAGGTATTTTCTAGAACGAGCTTATACAGCAGACCCACCTTCTTTGCACATTAGAGGCCTAGTCTGACAGGGTTGTTGTGTACTGGGAAAGAAGGGATTGGGGTTTTCTGAATTTCCAGCTCTGTACAAATCTCTGCTGCTATGAAGAGCCAGGGGCAAGGGTCAAGGGGAAATGGGAAATGACTGTTCAATGGGTGTCAAGTTTCAGTTATGCTCCATTACTAAATTCTAGAAATCTGCTATAGTTGATGATACTGTATTGTGAACTTAAAATGGCAGATCTTTTCAAAGTTCTCTAAGAAGAAAAACAAAGAGACACAAGTACACTTGTAAAGGTGACAGATATGTCTACAGCTTTGATTTGTGGTGATGGTTTCATGTGTGTTTATGTAAGTGTAAACTCTTCGCATACGTACACTTTTTTGTCAGTTGTACATGCAACTGACAGATAACTGAGCAGAATGTTGATACCTAATGGTGTGGTTTTAACAAGAGGAATAAATGCTTTTTAAAACAATCAGAGTAGTTTTCATTGGACTGTTGCTATCTTGCAAGGCTGAATCCTAGCACTCTCAAATTTCTCATCCTTCAGGAGGAATTTCCAAGTGACATTACAACACTATAATCACAACAAAACCACTTGCAAACTTCTGTTTTGAAAATAGTTCTTGAATTAAAAAAAAAAGCCATGTAAGGACTGTATAAGGAATGAAAAACAAGGACAAATTGAAAAATTAATTTATTATATGAAGAAACATCAACAATATTTATTAGAGTCAATGACTGCAGAGAAGTAGTCTGTAAAAGCTGACATCCACAATGCACTGAGTGAGATTGGCACATAAACTCATAACCACAGCACTGAAGTTCTAAGGTTATTTCCAAGGAAATGCTATATTGGACAATCAATTTTAATGTTTATTTTCCCATTGACAAGGTTGCAAAGATTAAACCCATATTCAATTAATGCTTTGAATCAAGCATTCAAGTTCTAAATTACAATTATCAAAGGGTGTTATGTCTTTTATGAAAGATGATACCAAAACAAACTCATTTGCTATCAGAAGCACTTTCTAAGATTCAGTGGGTCTTTTTCCTCTAACTACCATGTATTTGGGTGTTAGTTTTTGTAAGCAACTGGCGGTAAAAGATAAGACAACTGCTAAGAAGGCCAAAGGCTCACATATCCATTCAAGACACGCATATGGTTGACACTACTTATTTCTTTTTCTAACAGTAAAAAAATAATAATCACCTGCTTATGTATTTGAATAACTATAATAATAACTCTTTAAATATGCATGGCACTTTAAAAATATTTTCAAAGCCTTTTCACATCTATTACAACCTTGTGAGGTAGGTTGGACAAGTATATCATCCAAACTTGGTGGGTGAGGAAACTGAGGCATAGAGCAATTAAATAACTTAAAGGGCTGAACAGGGAGATCCTGATCTCCATAATGGACTGTCTTCAGTAATGATGAATTCACCCCTCACCCTCTCCAGCCAGATGAGAGTGATTCATTTGGGGCAGCTGTCATGACAAGCTACGGTATATGATTAATTAGACAAAGCACTGGGAGTTTTAAAATTTGGAATTATAATTGAAAAACACATTTTAACCTCTATTACATGAGGAAATTTACTGGGACTTTTTAAAAACACCTTTAGGACAACCAAACTCTGCAGTGTGAACTGTAATTTTGCTGTTTCAGAGATATCAATTATATAACAAAAATTCTCAGTGCACCACGACTTACATTTTCACCATGCAAAATAAAGTATTTCTCCCTCAAGAAAATGGACATACATGTCCCAAAAGCTGGAGTACCTACATATCAGAGGTTAAAAGGGACAAAATGTCCAATTTAGTTATCAAATGTCTGTCTTTAATAAATGCGTGAACTGGGCTTTTGGGAATCTGAAAGATGAACATCACTATTAGTTTGTTTTGAAGTCACTCAAGATGCTTATCTATTTTCTAAATTAAAATGTATATATTTAAAAGTTAAGGTTTTGTAATGGTCTTTGAGACATGCTTCTGAACTAAGTCTGGGAAACACCAGCCTCTTCATCTCTGTCTAGGTCTGAATATGCTTAGTTAGTGACAGGCTGGGGGGCGCCCCACTCCTCGCTCCCAAGGCATGACCTAAGGCATTTCAGGTGGTAATGGGGGACCATTACCCCTAGCATAGCCACTGGAAAAACTTCAAGGTGAGACTGTCTTTCTCAAAAAAGAGCTATAAGCTATCCAGTGTCAATGAAAAATGAATACAACTATCTTATTTGATATCAAGAAACACTTGAAATGACTTAGGAATGGCCTTACTACTCTCCTAAACATTATAGAGTATTTCTGTTCATTAGGAAATAACCAAAAAAGGATGCCTTAACATCTTAGCTTTACTTACAGTTGTTAGATATTTTCAACACTGCTTTTGTGTAATAACGTGTATGTATGTGTACATGTGACAGCACGGAAAGTACATGGAAGTTTATGTTGTATGAAGTGGTCTTTTGATTATGTATGCTCACTATTTTAGGCCTATTAAAAATAGGGCAAGTGGTAGATGGTGTGGTAACAGGAAGAACATAGACAATCTTGGATTTTATTCTAATTCTGTTAAAAATAGACAAAATAAAAGATCTGTTGTGTGGACATCCCCACAAAATTAAACCCAAAATATTGATAAACCAAGACAATTTCAAATGAAGAAATGTATTTCATAAAAACTAAAATTGAGGCTCTACACCTTAGGGGCTTAGTGATATACTTCTATGGACCTATATAAAATATCGAGCAATATATTATGCCTTGTGAAAGAATGTTTACTGTTCTATTTATCCTTGAAATTACTTATCAAGTTAATATCAAGAAGAATCAAAAAGGAAAATTATAAGAAGTGCAATGGCCAGATAAATATATTTTTGTGGGTTAACACAGTTGGAGGAATAGATTCCTTTTCTATCTTGTAAAATAGAGTCCATAAATAGAGTCCCTTTGTAAGTTTCTCATATTTTACTCCAATATACTTCTTAAATTGGTGTGATCTTTATGGTACATATTTCCAGATATCTCATTTTCAAGATTTTAATAGAAACAATGGCACTAGATGCAGGCATTTTTTCCAAGATAGTGGAGGATATGCTACCCCATCCTCTCTCAGGAAACAAATAGGATTCCAGGTTAAAGGAGAAATTATACATGAGATGAAAAAGTGTAGGAGGATAGAATTAGGGATTTTGTTCAAATTAATTCATATTTGTACCAAATCAAAATGTGTTAAATGAAAGACAAAAATCTTCTGGTCATTTCATCTCCTTTGATAATTTAAAAAATGTTTATGAAGTCAATCTCTAACTAGGGATGGTGGTGGTGAAAACCATTTTACTTCAAATAATGAAAATTAAAATGTCCTGTGTTTTTTTTTAAAAAAACAAAAAACAAAAAACAAAAAAACTTAAGGAAAATAACTCTTGTCTAAACTTTCCTGGCAGCAAGGAAGGGGGAGGCACGAGTAAACACTATGAGTTTTATCTTTTTTTTTTTTTTCCTAAGAGTTCAAGCAAATTCAACTATAAATTTTCCAGAATCAGGAAAGACTGGATTTTGAGAAGCTTTGAGTCTACCTTCTAGCAAATTCACATCTTTAAATATCCCCAAAAGGAAAGAATTTTACTTACACAAGCCCCTGTCATTTTGATGTTTTAATAACCCTGCTGATCCAAAATTTCTTCAACATATAGAAGGAATACAACTTCCCTGAAATTCCAAGGCATCCATAACCAAATTTAGAGAGGTCAATTTTGTACTTATGGTTCCTAGGGAATAAAGCCTCTAAATCTAGGCTCTTGAATCGATTAGAGATAGCATGCCAGAGTGACTACAGTTGGTTATGTACAAAGAGCCCTAAGGAGATGAAAAGGGAACATCTGTCTATTCACAAACCAAACTTTAATAGCCCGCTCTCTAAGCTCTGACAGGAATGATATTGCTGGTGGCAAAATCCCAGTAAACTTCTCTGCTCATAATGACAGCTCTTGAGTGATAACTATGTTTAAGGATAAGTCATCAGGCTAACCAGACCAAAAGTCCAGAAAATGAGAAAACAAGTAAGCCCCTCTCTTCTTTTACCTGATGGATCTAACCAGCCTAACTCAGATTTCAAGAATCTTCTGTCAGTGAAAAGGCCAATAATGCCTAGAAGAACATAACAAGGTTAACTGTAAACTGTGGTGCTATAGGCTGCCTCTTCTCAACACTCAGAGGTTTCCCTGGCTTCTCCCCACAGTTCCCACTTACCCAAGAGGTTTATAAAGAGAGCAGCTCACAGGAGTTGACAGCTAACTTTCTGCCTTATTCCTTGTGAAAGACTCATTACTTGTATAAAGAACAGGTATCAACCCAGAAAACAATATGCCTGTTCCCTGAGAGACCTCAGGTACCATTAAGCAGAACAGAGGTCTTCTGCACTCAAGACGTGACTGGGCTCAGGACTTAATTTACTGCTAGAAGGTGTCTCATCTCTGCCTCCAGATGACTTTTCATCTGTCTTTCCTTCTAATTCACAGGGTTTCTGCCACCTGCAGAACCAGAAGGTACACCTGATCCACTTCCTAAAGCCTTCAGAAACACTGGTAGAAAAGAGCTTTTTACAAGGGTGGAAGAACTGATAGAACACAAGCATGAAGAGAATGGCTGTGCAGTAACCAATGAGCAGCTGTAGAACCAACAGAGGCGCACACACATACATGTAAATGTCGGTCTTGAAAAAATACCACAGGAGGAGGAGAATGGCATTCTCAATGAATCTCATCATGTAGTACACCAGTAGCCGATACCAATTCTGAGACTTGCTGATGAGGTCAGGGTTGTCGATTTTCAGTTGTACAGCTGACCAGCAGAACATGTTGATGCCAGAATAGAGTAAAGTGAGGAAGCACAGAACAATGGTGGTGCCCACCCGAGTGAGGGCCTTCTCTATGTTCTCGGGGAATGGGGAGCCACTGCACCAGAAGTTGATCCAGGGATACAAGAAGAAGCTGAAGAAGTTGACGAGTATGACGATCACCACCCAGGTCTTCAGGACGGAGGTAAAGAGGACCAGGACCACAACTCGTGTGGCAATCTCAAAGCTCCTCCAGAGGAAGATACAGAGATAGGCCAGGGGCTTCACTTTGACCTCGTACTCATCATACTTGATTTTGATGGCTAAGATGTTGCAGCGCAAGGCTCCATACACAATGGACAACAGGGATAGGCTCATCATGAAGCCTGGGAAGAAAAGAGAAAGAGCACTGTCAAGTCTCACGTCCACCAGGAGTGCTACCATGGCAAACACTGTCAGTCCACCTCTCATATCCCTTAGACTCTTGTTTTATGTGCACAGGCTGACTTCCAGCTGTCAATATCTTCCCATGGTGCCTGAGGATTTTTTCCAAAACTGCACAAGGCTCCCTTGTCCAAATACCTGGCAGGCTGAAGTGCTAGGGAATTAATACTCTTGGGAGAGTCCTCAAAACCCCAATTCCAACCCTGAACAAGAGCTAGACTCTAAGTATACTAGCTTCCCTAACCCTTGGATAGAACAACTCAGACATGTGTTAGATTTCATTTCTCAGTGTTTCCTCATAGGATTAACATGAACTCACCCACGGTGACAGTTGTCTACTAATACTCCCTTTGTTGGCTGCCTTCCCTCCTTGCCTCATTTCTATTTTCTCTTGTGCTAGGCATAAGATACCCTTTCCTCCTAAAACAATGCAATAAAATCCTTCTCTCTGGGTCTGCCTTATGGGCAACTTAAATACCTTCCAGACCCCTGACCCCATCTTGGTCTGTCTGAATATGTAGAGCCCTTTACGTGGCACATTTTGTTCCTAAATTGACTTACAAGTTTCTGGGGATTCAGATATTTTCTCTTGGTGTTCCATACATACCAGGAGTAGGTAAACAAACAGAAAGCACACAATAAATTGCGCAGTACATCCCTCTTCATTGTAAGATCTTTTGAACTTACATACTAACTATAGAGTGCTCACTTCAGTTGCATTCTTAAATTTTGCAAGGAGGTAAAGAAATGAGAACCTCACTGTTGTTGACAGTAGATTTGTCTTGGACTAACAAGACAGCATTTCAAGAAGTCTTGACTATATAGCTGTTTATTTCTTTAAATGGCCAATGGGTAAGAAGCAGCAATTGGGCCAGTCAATGGCAGGGGTGGTTAAGATAGCTGGATTCCACATAACCAACTGTGTGGTTCAAGTCCAAGACCTGATGACTTGAAAAATGCATTGTGTGTGAGTGTGTGTGTGTGTGTGTGTGTGTGTGCCCAAAATCCCAAAAAGAGGGAGAGAGAGAGAGAGAAGAAAAGATTGCAGTATGACCACCCCCTATGGAGGGAGAGTATTTTCTCATCTACCCTGCCTCTCTCTCCATCTCTCTCTGATAAGCACACACATCTGACAAATTTAAAAAAAAAAGAAAAGAAGCAGTAATGTGGGGGAACAAGATGTATCTTGTTTAAATGGACTGTGGTATACTGTTCCAGAGCGCAACACTGTCGGCCTTGAGTTCTACTCCAAATAATGGCACAAGGAGAAATGAGAGGCAGGACTTTGAATTTGGATCTGAGAGATTGACTCTGGTTTTACTCTTGCCATACCAGTTTACACTGTGAAAAGTGCAACCTTTCTGGGTTGTTTTCTCACCCACAACATTGAGATGATGATATTATCCATCCCGCTGCTTCTTCCCCAGCCACAGTCTTGAAATATGTTTATTTATTTTAGTAGACTTTATTTTTTAGAGCAGTTACAGATTCACAGCAAAACTGAGCCAAAGGAACAGAGTTCTCATATACTCCCTGACACCACACATGCATACCTTCCCCTATTATCAACATCCCACAGTGGAGTGGTATATTTGTTACAATCAATGAACCCACATTAATGCATCATTATTATATAAAATCCATAGTTTACATTAGGGTTCACTCTTCGTGCTATACCTTCTATGGGACTGGACCAATGTAGAATGACATATTTCCACCATAATAATATCATGCAGAGTACTTCACTGCTCTAAAAATCCTCTGTTTTCCACCTCCTCAGCCCTCCTCCTTATCCCTTAGAAAACACTGATCCTTTTACTGTCTGCATAGTTTTACCTGTTCCAGATTATCACATAATTGGAATCATACAATATGTAGTCTTTTTTTTTTTTTTGGAGAGGTTTTTGCTTTAGGGTGTGTGCGCTTGCACGCAGTGGAACAGATAGAAAGGGAGAAATCACTCCCCAGGAGGGATGGCCATGCTGCAATCCCTTCTCCTCCGTTCTTCTCTTGGGATCTTGGGCACGCACGCATATGCGCCCAACATGAGTTTTTTTTGTTTGTTTGTTTTGTTTTTTGAGAAGTTTTTGCTATAGGGCGCATGCGCTCGCCAGACAGACAGAGAGAGACAGAGAGACAGAAAACGATAAATCAACCCCCGGGGGGATGGCCTCACCGCAATCCCTTCTCCTCCATACTCCTCTTGGGATCTTGGGCACGCACGCACACGCACCCGGCGTGAGTTTTAAGCCACCGGGTCCGGGACACGAACCGTGGTCAACTACATGGGAGCCCAGTGACATAGCCATTAGGCTAACTGCTGGTCCCAATATGTAGTCTTTTCAGATTGGTTTCTTTTTAAGGCTGAATAATAGTTCATACTAACAGCTGTACAGTAGTATATTATTGTTGTTTTACATAGAATGTGCAGCATCTTTTCATATGCTTATTTGTTATCCAGGTACCTTTTTGGGTTAGGTGTCTATTAAAGTCTTTTTTTTTTTAATTTTATGCCAGAGGGTGTGTATGCACACTGAGTCCAGGGAGAGAGGGGCACCCCCTGTAGGGTCTAGTCACACCACAATTCCTTTTCCTCAAATTCTCCATTTCAATCAGGATCCTGGGTAGGCATACACCCAGCATGTTTTTGCAAGCCCATGGAGACAGGACTCAAACTGGTTAACCATGTGGGATCTGGTTTCTTCTGCACAGTACCTAATTGCTATGCTATGAGAAGGGCCATGGACCATTTTAATTTCTCATTGAGTTTTAAGTCTTCTTTATATATTCTGAATAATAGTCTTTTTATCAGACAAGTCTTTTGCAAATACTTTCTCCCAGACTGTGGGAGATTATCTTTTTTATTTTTTTGACAATGTCTTTCATATAGAACAGTAGTGTTTCACCTTGGTGAAGTCCAGCTTATCAATTCTTTCATTCAAAGATCGTGCATTTGGTGTTACATCCAAAAAAATAATCACCAAACCCGAGGTCACTTATGTTTCCTCCTATGTTATCTTCTAAGAATTTTGCAGCTTTGTATTTTACATTTAGCTTTATCATCCTTATTGAGTTAATTTCTTTTAATATAAACTTTTTTTTTCTTTTCTTAGATTTTTTTTAGAATTATTTATTCTATTTTATTTATTCATTCATTTTATTTTAATCTGACCACACACACACACACACACACACACACAGAGCGCGCAAGCCACCGGGTCTGGGACTTGAACCAAGGCTGGCCATATGGGAGTGTCCAGTGCCTTAACCACCACGCCACTGACTGGTTCCTGATTTTGAGTTAATTTTTTAAAGACGTGTAAAGTCTGTGCATAGTTTTGGTTTTGGGTTTTTTTTTTGGGGGGGGGGGGTTATTTCTTCCATGTTTATGTCCAGTTATTCCAGTATCAATTTTTGAGAAGACAATCATTTTTTCATTCTATTGCTTTGCTCCTTCATCAAAGATTAGTGGACTATATTTATATGGATCTATTTTTGGGCTCTCTCTCTGTCCCACTGATTTGCTCATCTATCATCTTATTTATTTATTTTTAATTTTTCCATATAGCACATGTGCTCACTGGAGAGAGACAACGAAAGACAATGAAAAGGAAAGTGAGAAATCACTTCCTGGGGGAGGGGTGGCCTCACCTTCCAAGGGGGATGGTCATGCTGCAATCTCTTCTCCTTCATTTTCCTTCTGAGATTTTGGGCACACACACACATGTGCCCAGTGTTATTTTCAAGCCACCAGGTTTGGGACTCAAACCACAGTCAGCCATGTGTGAGTCTAATGTCTTAACCACCATGCCACCTGCTGGCCACATACTTGTCTATTCTTTTACCAATAGGAAGCTGTCTTGATTACAACAACTTTATCTAGGCCTGCTTCTTAAAATACAATTCCATATAGTTCTGTCCATATAACATAAATGTATAAGTTTAAGTGTGTGGAAATAAAGTATTTTTTCTTATTTAAGTTCTGAATGAATGAGAAAACATACATATTTGGTGGACATACAAACTCTGAAACCTTGGAATTTATTTGCCTGGAGAAGCTCGATTTTATTCACAGCATCAATTTTTCTCATAGTCTTTTGGCACTGAATTAAATGATCAATATCACTTACTAGAAAGATTAGTACCAACTAATCAAGTTTAAAAGATAAAACACCATCATCAGGGTAGACTGAGAAGTAATTGGACTGAGTTATTTTTCCCGAAAGGCTAATTCAGCAGAACACTGGAAAGCAGAACAAATTAGTGGCATATTTTTATATATGCAGCTACGAATTTCCATACTCCAAGGATCCAGTATTGAATCCTTTTCTCTTAACCCTTATGTTTTCCCCCATGAGAAAAATATTTAAAATGCAAAAGATGAGCTAAGTATAAATCATCGGAATGTAAATTATGTAATTATTTATATACAGTATTCATATTGTTATATTTGTGGTATTTTAATTCCAAAATATTTACTTTTTAAAGATACAATGGCAGAAATATTTTTTTAGCAGCTATCCATTTTTCTCTTGTTAGAACAATTATTTCCAATTACATCTTTTTCTCTAGCAAGATGATTAGGTGATTGCTCTCTAGTTGGTGTTTAGTAGTAATCAAATGCAGAAGCCTTCTGAGAATGCAGAGAAATTATCTAGAAATCACTAACTTCAATCATCAATCCTACTGTCGAGGTGCTCAATGCAAAATGTCATGAAAAGGACCAAAAAGGAAGAAATGCTTGGGAGACAAGATGCTTACACAACATACTTACGATGTACATTTTCTACACCTAGATTTAAGCTGTTACCCCATGAATGACTAGGATGATGCTCATGCAAATAGCTATTTACTCAGACTTAAGTGGAGAATAGTTTCCTATCACAATTCCCCAACCTTATCTTCTCATGGTCAAAAAAAGAGGATCAACTGATAGTCCTGC